GATAAGAAGTGTACTTCAGTATTTAAATTGTTTAAAGTGAATTTGACTACATTACCCATGATGCACTGCGCGCCTGTTGCTATGATACGGTCTGTACATCCTGTTCAGGCAGCTCCTTCCGTAAACACCGTCTTCTCTGCATGTAGCGCCGTTTGGAGCAGAAAATGTTGTTGTTTCAAACATTTCTCAGCTTGTAGTTCAGCTACAGCCCGTCTTTTATCTTTACGGCTTGTTTATTTCAGGTTTCTGACGTTCAAAGAGACTTTATCGGTTTGTTGTTAGCAGCGGGAGGCTAATTAGCTTAGCTTGGCAGCTCCAGTTCAGATTAGCTTCAGCTAGAATAAAATCCCGTTAAAGCTCCACCGGTATCAAAGCTGCTTTTTACCGGCACATTAACGTGAACCCTCCTGCTCCCGGTAAGCTGCCGGTGTCTTATGGAGCGGGCTGACCCGACAAAAGCCCCCCAGCTGCTGAAGAACCAGCCGTACGACGAGAGCCTGGAGGTGGACGAAGAAGAGGTAGCGAGTGTCCACAGCCCGTCTCCCCGCGGACAGCGACAGGTAACCCGGCCTGACCCGCTGCCTTCACCCGGCCTCAGAACCGGAGGTCTAAACACACACCTCCATCAGAACCAGAGACCTCCTGGTCCTGATCCTGATCCCATATGAAACTAACTCTGAACTACTTCTCATTTTAACTTCTGATTCGAGTTTTTGTTTCAGCTTCTCTCAGATTAATTAATGTTAATTAATTATTGTTCTGACCTCTGATTGGTTTATTATGTTCTGACCTCTGATTGGTTTGTTATGTTCTGACCTCTGATTGGTTTATTGGTTTATTATGTTCTGACCTCTGATTGGTTGGTTATGTTCTGACCTCTGATTGGTTTATTGGTTTATTATGTTCTGACCTCTGATTGGTTTATTGGTTTATTATGTTCTGACCTCTGATTGGTTTGCTATGTTCTGTCCTCTGATTGGTCGGTTATGTTCTGATCTCTGATTGGTCGGTTATGTTCTGACCTATGATTGGTCGTTATTTTCTGACCTCTGATTGGTCGTTATTTTCTGACCTCTGATTGGTCGTTATGTTCTGACCTCTGATTGGTCGTTATTTTCTGACCTCTGATTGGTCGGTTATGTTCTGACCTCTGATTGGTTGGTTATGTTCTGACCTCTGATTGGTTTGTTATGTTCTGTCCTCTGATTGGTTGGCTATGTTCTGACCTCTGATTGGTTTGCTATGTTCTGACCTCTGATTGGTCGGTTATGTTCTGACCTCTGATTGGTTTGTTATGTTCTGTCCTCTGATTGGTTTGCTATGTTCTGACCTCTGATTGGTTTGCTATGTTCTGACCTCTGATTGGTCGGTTATGTTCTGACCTCTGATTGGTTTGTTATGTTCTGTCCTCTGATTGGTTGGCTATGTTCTGACCTCTGATTGGTTTGCTATGTTCTGACCTCTGATTGGTCGGTTATGTTCTGACCTCTGATTGGTTTGCTATGTTCTGACCTCTGATTGGTCGGGTATGTTCCGACCTCTGATTGGTTTGCTATGTTCTGACCTCTGATTGGTCGGTTATGTTCTGTCCTCTGATTGGTTGGCTATGTTCTGACCTCTGATTGGTTTGTTATGTTCTGACCTCTGATTGGTTTGTTATGTTCTGACCTCTGATTGGTTTGTTATGTTCTGACCTCTGATTGGTCGGTTATGTTCTGACCTCTGATTGGTTTGCTATGTTCTGACCTCTGATTGGTTGGCTATGTTCTGACCTCTGATTGGTTTGCTTTGTTCTGACCTCTGATTGGTCGGTTATGTTCTGACCTCTGATTGGTTTGCTATGTTCTGTCCTCTGATTGGTTGGCTATGTTCTGACCTCTGATTGGTTTGCTATGTTCTGACCTCTGATTGGTCGGTTATGTTCTGACCTCTGATTGGTTTGCTATGTTCTGTCCTCTGATTGGTTGGCTATGTTCTGACCTCTGATTGGTTTGCTATGTTCTGTCCTCTGATTGGTCGGTTATGTTCTGACCTCTGATTGGTTGGTTATGTTCTGACCTCTGATTGGTCGGTTATGTTCTGACCTCTGATTGGTTGGTTGTGTTCTGACCTCTGATTGGTCGGTTATGTTCTGACCTCTGATTGGTTGGTTGTGTTCTGACCTCTGATTGGT